AGGTGTGTTGAATCATATATGATGACAAATAAGCCCTAATTAATAAACTGTATTATTTAATAATTATTCGCCACACCTTATGATTCACCACACCCATACACCAAATGAAAGAGTCATCTTTAATAGCTCTAATTTAAATAAATTTATGACTAATCAATATAAGCAAGTATAACTTTGAATTAGAGTTCAAGATTATGTCACGAAGCTCTAATTTAAGATCATAGAGTTTGGATGCTAATTACTATCATTATTACAAATCTGAAAACTATTCTTTATTCAGAACAAAATGGCTTCACTTATATATATTATGAATCAAATTGGTATTTAGGTCAAGTTAAACATGACCCGAGTCAAATTGCTCAATTAAAAAACCTCAGTCAACATCAACACAATTCTGGCTGACCCTAACCTTAAAATTCTTCTAGAGATCAATTTAACTCAGGTTAAATTTTATATAGTAACGAGATAAGCAAAATAATGAAAATAATACAGAAATAATAATAGTACATACAGTATATATTATACTGTAAATAGTACATCTCTAAGCATGAAATATATGTTATGTTCGAATGATTTAAGCATATATCAACTAATAAGGTGATTGAAAACTTCCTATCTGCTATGCTATGGCTGTCACCTCTGCTTCACTCCCTTTTACTAAAAACAAGTTAGTCAGTATATTTAATATTGCGACACTCTAACCCTAACTGTTAGTCAGTATATTTAATATTGAAATACACTAATTCTAACAATAAGCATTTAAAAACTTGGGTTTAGATAGACCAGTACAAAATAAATAGAAACCTAATCATGTAAATTGCAAATTGTATACTTTTGATGGATCTAATAATAAAACCTGCTTAAATTGCAAATTAAGTAAATAAATGCATAGATGTTATTGCATAAAATTAGATTAATTGAAACCCTAGCAGCCAACACTAATATTATCTGTCTAATTCGCATTACCTCTTATTATTAGGATTTAAACTGCAAGTTTTAGCATAATGACCAGTATTATTACAGTAAGAATATTTGTGTGTTGACTTGTTTGTAATATCAGATTCATGGAGTACTTTATTAGATTCATGAATTTTTTGAGGACCTGGTTTATTAATATCTTCCAAAGAATCCTGTAATTGTTTCTTTGGTCGACCATGGTGTGAAATAACATGAGAATTCGTAACTATTCTAAAATCATCCAAAGAATCATTAGATTCAATAGATTTGACTCAATAAAACTATATACTAACCCAATAAATTCATTCATTGTATCAGTGTCAAGAGCAAGTAGAACACCTTTTTTAGCAATCCCAATACCTTGACAATATTCAGCTTTTTTGAAAGAGTATTGTTGAATTTCATAATTGAAACAATTTGGCCCTCGGAGCTGTTCAATAAATGCAAAGGTATTATCTGATTCATCATTTTGTATTTCTTGCATGTCTGTTATATTATTATTTGTAATTTGAACGGTAATTGGTTGCTCAATCATGCTTATAAAACTTGTAAACCACCATTAAGATATCATTTGTATTTGGAATTTAAGTGAAGAGACAGCCAGGACTGAAAAAAATGGTGTGGCGAATAATTATTAAATAATACAGTTTATTAATTAGGGCTTATTTGTCATCATATATGATTCAACACACCT